TGTATAAATCTATTGCACCACCATATGCATTTCGCATTGATGACAACGTACACGTTTTAATAATACCTTAAAAGATTTGGAGAGTTAATGTTATCATTTCTCAAAAGAACATACACGACTACATGCAGATATATATACTAAAACTCTAAGATAAACTTAGTCTGGTGAACATATTTAAGTTCAGATATAATATACAAAAGCTTAATATAATGTATCTTCTAGTATATTCTCTAGAATTCTAGAAATAATCGTCTGCTTCAATTTGAGTTTTCCCTAGCTATCTCTTTATATACGATTTTGCAAAATTTGGTCGTATTAGGCTTTCATAGCAATGGAAAAATATGTATAGCACTTGTTCTAAATTTTATCATAGTAATTTAATTGTAGTAGATCCAACATTCTTTTCACTAATATTTATCAGTCGATCTATATATTAGCGTCTCAATGATTTATTTAATTTATAGTACAATGATAGATATCTTTTACAGAGAGGCAATGTCGTATCTTTTGTCAGTTTCCTCTCCACTCAAAGAAGACATTCTTTCCAACGCCATCTTTCCCTTAATGCATGTACAATATGTGTTAGTGAGAATATTTTAAATAAATAATTAGTGAAGATTCGTTTTTTCTAAGTCGTCGGTCGAAGAAGAAAACAAATTTTGGCGGAGGCTAATTATATATATTGTGTATGTTAGTAAAATATTGTCTCCCAATCTTGGTCGGACTCTCTTAACCGGCATCAAAAGACATTATTTTTTGTTGTTAATTTAACCAATCATGTGTTAAGATTTGGATATAAACCCAATCCTTAGAATACGATTAAAACCCAAAAATATGAAAATATAATAGCGATTCAACAAAGGCATACACGACTTATAGCGATTCATTTTCATTTATCAAAAATGTTAGTAATAATCAAATTCGAAGTATTGACAAGTTTTCTCTTGAATCAAACACAAAAATAAATCAACCATTTTGTATTATTATTGGACTACCACTTCACTGGTTGACAGGAACCAGTTCCTTTGTATTTCAGATAGGTTTCAAGACTAGCCATACAATATACAAGTGACCAGCTTCGATGAAAGAATATGATTGAGTTACTTTATAAAGTCGAGCATTTTAAATAATGTGATTTGGATATACTTTTGTCATCCATATTATTTTCAAATCCCCTATCTCAACATATAATGGAATAATACATGCATTAGTTAAAGAAATGCAAGTGGAAATAGATTTCGTATTTAAATTTTAAGATACAAAGTATGTATGCATGTGTTTTAATTTGTGTTTATTGATAAGGGTGAGAGGAAGAATACAAAGTAGTATACCAAATACTCTGATCTTGTTTGATTATGCGAAATTATAAGAGTTTAATTTGTTGAGATAGATTAATAAGGGGGTATTATATTGATGAACAGGTAGCTTAGTTGTCCGCACCCTGTAAAATCCGATTCAAGTTAATCAATAAATCCGATCCAAAATAATTTTAATAGCGTAAATTATAGTTGACTATTCCAAATTGGTCATCCTGAATCTATATGATAGTGTTGGTATAAATTTTTATTTAGTTCAATCTTCCTTCAAATTATTTTAAGAAGAAAATGCTCCAAATAGCCTAATTTTCTGTAGGAATAATTAGGAGAACTCGTCCAAAATTGTATCACTCAAATAGCCAATTTATAACCTCATCAATTCTATAATTCAAATAGCCTTCTTATAAGTCTACCCTACTACCCGCACAGTCAATTACTAGATGTTTTTAAAATGTGTGAAACTTTTTAAAAGTCAAACTACATGAAACAGAAAAAGGTTGCATAATTATTGATAGCATAGTTATTCAACATATACTTTATAGAGTTGTTAACATATTTTACCAAATTTTTTTCTGTATGATGAAATAACGACTGCACTAATACAAAATACTATGCTACATGTATCGTTCTTTATACTGTAAAAACTTGGCATACTTTTATTTAACATTACTCAGCATACTAATGTTCACATGCACGTATATTATTTTGATTTAGTATGTGTAGGTTTATGGAAAAAAAATTGCTTGAGATAGTTACTTAGTGTAGTTAGTCCACATACTAATTTATGCAGAGTTCTCAATTTGGTTTGGCATGCATAATTCAGTTGAATAATCTAACCTAATTATTCAATATAACTATTTGATATATTTATTTTCGTAGAGTCATTATTTGATTTGATAATTGATGTGGATAGTTATTGGTAAAAAGTTATTCATAGCTCTAAAATTTTAATCTAATATATAGAGTTGTTTTATTGATTTGGTAATGGTAGTTATTTGGTAAGCAAACAATTTGACATAGATATGCATACTGTTGATCATCACATTGGAACCAATCTTTGAGATTCATAGTGTTGCACAACAAAGAGAAGTATCCAATTTTTTACCATCTGACTAATCATCTAGAGTGAATGTAGTCGTCGAATAGTCTACTCACCAGATTTTCTAATGGATCTAAAGCGTTAGTACTATTTCAAATGACTTAATAGAAGTGAAAGTGATTTTGGGAATCAAACTCATGTTGGAAGAATTTACTCTTTTTCATGAGATATTAATATGTTTTGGTGATGATTAGCCAAGTACGACGGTAAACAATTAATTTAAAAATAAATGAATAAACATTTTTCATTAAAAAGATTAATTTTGTAAAATAACTCAAAGCTAATTTTTGAATATTTACAAAGATAGTACAAAAGAGATAATATTTTAAAATGAAATAATTAGAAAACGATGTGACATAATTATGATATCACTGTTTTTCATGGTAATAGTCATAGAAATGTTGGTTGTAGTTAGAAATCGAATTTTTTGGCACACGTTTTTCTTCATCACTAAAGAAACATAACAGCTCTAGGTTCAACGAAATATTGAGTTTTCACTCA